TATATAACTCTCAACAAATAACACATCAATATCACCATAATAATATCTGAATAACGCGGAAAAATACGAGAGGAATATTCTCTATGTTACAAGGCCGGATTACAAAGAAAAAAATATATATTTTTTTTTCTGTCAGCTCCAAGTGGAGATGATTCATTAAACTCTGGACTTATCTCTACGTACGGAGTCCGAATGTAATAAGTTTTCCTATAAATTTGGATAATATCATTAAAACATAATCATTTGGGCCTTAATTTTCAAATAGATACGATTTTTTTTTTAAAGCAAATTATTAGGAGCCGGCCAATGCTCTTATCCGTTGATAAGCTCTAATTCAATCGAAGGGGTGAAATAAATGGTGTAATTACTAGGTTCTATAATGAGAGGCATTTTGCCCTTGAAAGTGACGATGGGGTGGAAGGAGAAATCAGCAGAGAAGCTCCAAAGAAAATTCAAAATTTTGCATTGTTAGCATTTTTTTAAAAAAATAACAAAACTTTATTTTATAAATTTTATCGGTTTCATATAAAATACCAACGAGGGGCAGATAATTTAATTAAAGATTGGTCAGATGCTATTTGACGAACCTCCCGACCAACCTCATGTCCCTAATAATTTCATTTTGTATTACAAACTCTGCCAACTATATATATATATATATATATATATATATATATATTGCTATAATTCATAGAGAATTCAATAATTAGGAGACACATCATAATAATTCATATTATTATTGGTATACCTGTGGTCGCAAAGCAGGAAGAGCAGGAGCCAACAATGTTCATGATTCCAATGGCCATCATCTCTTTATTTCCATCAATTTGGTAGTCTTTTAGTGAAGCAAAAGTCCTCCCAACTGCTATTCCTTCCTGTGATTAGTTTAAAATCAAATTAAGTTTTCAATTATTGTTGTTATTATTTAGATATGAAAGAAGTTTGATGTTTGTAAGTCTTACAGTTAGACAGAGGATCCCAGTTATTATTCCAGTTTTTAGGGCTAGCATCACATAGGATCCTTTGAAAAGTAGCTTGTTAATAGAAGGAGGATTCAACCCCTCCTCCAACTTGCCAACCTGATAAAAAAATAATATATTTATTTGTTATAACTATGTTGATGGTGTGTCATATGTAAGAATATCATGTAAAACTATAAGCCTTTATAAACTCATATATAATCTTATTAAATCATAGAGAAGGGTTGGGCAATTGTAAATGACATAAATAAATTCTTTATATTGATATGTCATTAGAAAATTCATCAGCTCAAGCATAATTTTTAAGCAATATTTATATCCTTAAGCACATGAATAATTGAGCAAATATTTAATTTAATGGTCATCTTACAATTGCTTTAAGTAAACTTATAATTGAAATAACTTAGTTCGATGATAAGTACTTGATGATATCAAAAATGTATGGATAAGAGCCCTAATTGACATGAATCAAGCGCTTGAAACTGAAAATAAAAATTACTTAAATCACTCAATTTAATTTCATTAATTTACTGAGATATGAAATAAAAATAACATATATTTAGTAGAGTCATTTTAGACAATTTGATGGAGTGTTCAAATTTTTAAAAAATTGAATGAAAAACCTCTCCATAAATCTACAAATGGGCATTATGTCTACACTTAATAGAGAGCTTTTGGCTCAAAGGGATTCTTAGATTAATCAAATTTCAAAGCTTTACCCATCATTACCCTACATTGATTGTCAAACGATGTTAATGCTACGTATGATCATCATCACACCCAACACCAATTATCAGCCGCTATTAACACTTGTTGTTGCAAAATTGTACGTTGATAAATATAACCATCTATTGTCACTGCCATAATAGCAACTGATGTTTAATGTGTTGTATCGAATGTCAAGTCTCCCCTCCCAATAGGAATGCAACCAAGCCAATTTTCCTACTTTCATTTGACTTCAAAACTTTCGCACCTACAGTTGCCAACAACTACAAAGTTATTAACTTTTGATACCCATTACTCACAAATATCTAGCAATCATCTTATCAATCATCAATTTCTACATTCTTAAGAGAACAAATAATTTCATCGGCCAACGTCGCCAAAATTTTAACATTTTTTATCAATAGACACTTAAGTGCACTAAAATTAGTATGAAACGACAACTTACATTTGTGCCAATATTTTCAATCATTAGGTCCACCCTATATTAAGAGAGGAGATCATAGATCACCAACCATCACCCACCTTTTAACATTCTACAATCATAAAAGTTTTATCGGACACATAATATTAAAATATAGAAGGAACTTAAAATATATATGGAACATTTATTCAAAATCCCAAGAAAGCACCTACTGTGTAAGAAGATTCTCATTAAAAAGTCATCAAGAGGGCTTTGTGACATATGGACGCTTAGAGAAAAAATGTTAATAAGAAATTTGCCTAATTAAAGGACTTTAAATTGCTTGTTGATTGAAAAGCACTGAAAAGTATGTAGTGTTAAATAAGATCCTTACAAAAGTCTCTCTGATTATAATATAATATATGGATCTTAAGAGTGTAAATAATAGAAAAACTCTCCACTTTCTAAGGGAACCTAGATAATATGAAATTTTATTTTCTTGCTCAACATAGTTCTCCTCTTGACTAAAATAAAAATAAGGATTAAGAAAACATAAGAATGATATTAACAGCCTATAAATTGCCTAAAATTTCCATACATTTTTGGTCCCTCAAACACATTTTTATGAGTTGGAATTGATTTCACATTTTCAAGACTTACAAATGTTATTTAAAATAAACTTGATCTATTTATGAGGAAATGAACTCTTAACTTTTTCTACTAATTTGTACTTTGAATGATGTGTTAAATTTGTTGGCTTAAGTGTTTCTTTGTCTCGTTTCTGACCGAATGGCTCGGATTCGGATCATTCGATCATCTTTCTTGATTCAGTCGGCTATAGATTTGCTGGCTTAACCTCGAGCCGCTGCACTCGATTGGATAAGTGAGTCTGATGGTCTTTTGTTTATGGGCCCTCCTTCGTTGCACTCTTCTACTCTTGACATAGATCACCTCACGATCAATGCGGGCATATTTTTGATGTACAAAACTCTTTATAACTCCTCAACCACACTACCTTAAGTTATTTCACTTGGGCTAGATTTTATACTTTTTTTTTTATAACCTTCTTTCCTTAGAAATTTCTCACCTTCTCTGTGGCACAAATTCTTTTCCTATAGCGGTAATTAGCACGCATGCGCACACATACATACACACACTTTCAAGAGAGAGAGAGAGAGATGCGTTAAATGAATATGTTACAGATTGTAAATTTTATCTCAGGTGTTCGGGGCTAAAGTTCTTACAGTTTGGATGCCATGAGCCTCCGATCTAAATGCAAAAATAACAATTGTTGATATGATCACCGAGATTAGTGGACCTGTTGCTGATATCAAATAAAGCTTTGGCCTCTTCATTCCCTGCATCAAAGTTAATCCTCATCACATTACAATGATTTAATATTAATTTTGATCATTAGTTCAAAAAAGTTATCTGGGTGGTTAATTTAACAAAAATCAATGTTTCCGGCCGTCTTTATGCAATCATCCGTTTTATATTAAAGGAAATATAGTTTATGAAACCTGTACCACCCACTCCCCATTACTTTTTGTTTTGTCCCACACAGCTGAAAGTAGAACATGAATTTTATAACTATTTAGAACATAAAAATTAGTTTACATATCCATCCACTGTTATCTTGCAGCGATAAGATAATTTTTTTTTAGTTTTGTATTGATAAAATAACCCATGACTGCTGGGGATAAAACATGCACTGATTACTTTTCTAATGAAATTGATGGAAAAGAGAACTAAATATCAAAATTGCAAATTCAGAAAAAAAACTTCTGAATTTAAAGTCATTTAGAAAGAACCTTACAATTTGTCTTGTTAGCAATAAGAAAGCCAGGAATGCGAAGCCCATCAACATTGTCTTCAAATTCCACTAAGCAAAATAAAAACAAAATGTGATCAATGCCAGAAAAAAAAAATTTATATGTAAGTTTTTGCCATACTGTTTAAGGGAGCTGCAATTTATTAAAAAACAACTATGAAGCTGCTAATAAATAAATTGTTGTTTAAGAAGTTGTGGTGACTCTTATAATTTTTTTTTTTTATGAAAAAGTCAGATTACATAGGTAAGACCGATGAGAAAACACAGATTTCAGCAACAGTTTTTTTGAAAAACTTGCCAAAATGCAGTTTACCCTAACAGACAAAACTGCGGTGCAATACCGTACCACTGGCCCAAACAAACCCCAAGTTTAATCTAAGTTTATTTTCTTGATTGATTTTGACTGATAATTCAGCCCTTAATATATATATATATATATATATATTATAAGAAAAATGAGAACTTGATTTATTGTGAATTCAATAATATTTATTAATTGGCTATACCTCTGACATGTGCTCGAAAGTTGACTGCATCACTGGTAAAAAACCAGTTTTTGTGGTAAAATGACTAATTCCTGTAAGCCCTTTAAGTTGCTGCAAAACTGTGATGATGGCCGCACCTCCTGTGAATCCAGCAAGCGTTGGCTTTGATAAAAACTCCACAATAAATCCCAATCTGTGATTGAAGTTTAGGTATTAGATATGTTACTATATACGTTAAAGACATAGAAATTGACTGGAAGCATGTAAATCTTCGTTAATTTTCATGTAAAAACATTTAATTATTTGATTATTTCAAGTTGTCATATAAGACAAAACTATACATCTTGCCTAATTTAATATAATGTTAGTGTCTCCGCCCAGGCTTGGAATGTCCCAAGTCATTTTCAGTTAAAAAAGAAAAAAAAAAATTATAATGTTTTTTTTATATAGGAAATTTAAAAGATAAAGATTGTGTACCTCAGGAGGCCCATTAAAGCTTGGAGTGCACCAGCAAAAAATGTTGTTGTCAAAGCTAGTTTAAGATAGAGTTCGGGTTGCTCGTAAGGATGGACTTCTTCACTTAACATGGATCCCAGTACCACAGAAACTATGGAGGAGGAGCCAACGGCAAGATCTCTTGAACTCCCAAGAACCACATATATTAATGGTGGCACAAAACTTGAATCTGAAATTCATTTTATTTATATATTAAATTCTTTTCACATTTAAAAATTTATATATATATATATATATATATGGTTAATAAAGTGTGATGATCAAGTTTAATTTTGTATGATTTGGAGCCTTGTTTTGTAATTGCTCTTTTATTTGTTTTTATTATATACATACAAGTTTAATTTTGTATGATTTGGAGCATGTCTTTTTATTTACTTTTTTCTTTGTAATTGTTCTTTTATTTTTATTATTATTGTTGTTATAATTAAAAATTTCTTAAAAATATAGTTATATATATATTTGTATTATATATATATATATATATATATATATATATTATAATAATAAATATACAATTACATCTTGTTGAACGTTATATAAAATTTTTAATTTATAATTATCAAAAGTGTTACATTTGTTCAAATTTCATTTATTATTTTCATATATCTATCACATATTTATTTTATTATATCATTTAAATCTCCCCTATAAACCCAATTCAACAAATGTCGAAATAATTCGATGCTATCAATGTAATTATCCTGTTTTTTTATATGAATGTACATTCTTCTATTCAAGTATATAATTAAATGTTCTTAGTCTAATACATTTAATAATAATAATAATAATATCATTTATTACGTCAAATCATGAATTAATGCAATGTGGAATTGTCCTTATTTATTTATTTATTTTGTGGGGAAATGAGGGCTGGCGAAATAGTCTTAATACATAGAAATTTATATGGTAAATGAAATTACTCACAGAGTCCAATAATAGGTGGAAGATTTGCAAGTTTTGCGTAACTTATTCCCTGCATGCATAAACAATGTGATTTAAATCAATTTAATCGCTTATCAGCACTCTATATACATACAAACATACATACATACATACATATATTGATGATTTAAGTTCAGGACCTGCAAATCATTAACTGTTAGGTATGGCTCATATCTAGGGAGTTGAATTTTATTGGTGAAGAGGTGTGTCTCCTGGTGAAAATGAGTGTCTCTTGGAATAAAAGGGGTTGGGGGGAGCGAGGCGTGATTGTAATTTTTATCTGTGGGTTTGTATATGTCTATATATATGTGTAACCCTACGGGATGAAAATTGTAACTTCTCTGATACCAATTGTTGTGAAAAATGAAGCGGAATAAAATAGGAATCGACACAAGAAGAAGAGTTTGGCGGTTTGCGGCAGTTCCCAGGGCGTTCGCGACAGATCGAATCAGAGTAGAGTGGAAGGAGGAAGGCCGTCGTTAAATATCTGTGTTGTTCTTCTGGTTTGTGTCGATTTTTGTTTTATTCCGCTTCATTTTTCACAACATTAACATACATAAAATGCTTGATAAATTGAATAAAAAGATTACCTGAGGGATTGCTAAGCTAGCAATAGTGAGGCCAGAAATGACATCAGCCTTGAAAAGTTGCAGACTGTAATCAGAGCTCCAAATCAAGACTGGAAACAAGTACTGAAGAACCATGTACATCTTCTTGGTTGCTGTCTTCTGATTCTTAACCTTGTGAAGAGGATCGTCAGGGAAGAAACATTCTCCGGACCAGTGCTTCAGAGTTTTCAGAACTGACTTCTTGTTTTGTGGCAAAGGAACTTTGTGGACAACTTCATCTAATCCCTGCATTTCTGGAGCAGTTGTTATTGAGAAACAGCTGGACTCTATGTCTCCGGCTTCCTCTGGTGCTCTCTCCACCTTACGACACATTATTGCTTTATTCTTCAGAGAGGAAAAGCAACTGCTAAACGTGTACATTTGAGGATGCTTGTGGAGACATGTATTTATAGGATGATGTAGAAATGCTTGAAGGTGTAGAGAGGATTTGTTTTTATGCTCTTTTTGGCCACAAATGAATGATTTTTTTAATTAATAAAAACATATGAAATAGTAAAGTGAGCTTTAGCATATCTTGAAGGTTTGACTCGGCTCTCGTTGAGATTCTTAATGATAATTAATGCCAGAATTTTTTTTTTTGCTGTACAACACTGAGATTCTGTCGTTATGCATTTGGTTTTTTATTTGCTGGGCTATATATGGTTGTACATTTAATTATCTTGAAAGGTCAACAGCTTGGGCTTACTAATTTGACTTGAATTTGTTTAAGTTAGCATAAATTGGCATTAGCATAAATTGGCACACAATCATGATATGAACTTGGCCTGATTAGCTATAGTCATCATATACTAAGCAAAATCATGATGAACTCACCGAAGTCGAAAAGAGTAACGTTAAATCTCGAGCCTATTCATCCAAGATTAACTATATTTGCCAAAAATCGGAAGCTATTCATCTAATACCGGTGAATTTATGAAGGAAGATCGACAATTTCTTTTTAGCGAGTCAATTGAAAATCTTGGTACTTAATTATTGTGAAATTACTTTAAATCTTTCATCTTTTTCCAAGAAGTAACTGAAGCGTTTTAATAGATATATACATACATACATACATACATACATATATATATAGACACACACACACTTACATGCCTATATGCATACATATTGATGTGTTATTGCACATACCAAGTGCTACAAAGCACGGGTGACTCACGCAAGTATACACGGTGTATCAATAGTACTGGGTTTGTCCCACTATCGATCCCACAAAAAACGAGGAGAACTCAATGCAGAAAATGTTTTAGTCTGCAATTTTTATTAAAGTCTGAAATTTTGGGTTTAATTAAAGTCCTACAAAATAACCCTAAGTTATCAATAATTTTAAGTTTACAACAGAGAAGTTGAAGGATTCGAGTGCTTCAAATTTCACCCCTAAAATGGTTCAAATAAGACCATCGAATGTGAAAGTAATTTAAGGAAAATCAAAATGACAAACAAAAGCACAACTTATCCTTACCTCTTTCCGATAGTATAAAGAAGTTTGGCTAGAAATTAGACTTACTTCCATAAATTGAATGACAATCTCAATCATATCAATCTTCCAATAAGTTTGGATTACCCTAAAGGATATATCTCTATTCTTTAAGGATAATGTGATTAATTTAGTTGATTTTATTATGATTTCTTCGGATACTCATAATTCACAACAAATTTTAACAAATCAAATAGTCTAAATGTAGAATTAAAGGAAGTTCAAAAAGTTAATCATCATCGGAAACATTTACACTCAAAACTAGACAAAAAATTTCACAACCATCAATCTAACTTCCCCATCCTGAGAGAGAATTAGTGAATTACTCACTACTCATGTTTGAACTCATCAGTAAACTCATTTGATTGAAAAAAAAATTAAAAATAGAAATCTTAACAGTAGAATAATACAATCCACAAAGTAAATCTCATGAAAACTTACCTCCATTTCTTCATAATTGAAAGAAGATGAAGTTACAGGCACAAGCCTCTCAAGCTCTCAAATCTCACTTCTCCTCTCTTAGTTGATTTTTTTTGGCGTCAAGGCACCCATAGGTGAATTTGGGGCTCCCATAGGTGGTGTCGGGTGCCCATAGGTAGCGTCGGGGCACTACAATTTGCACTTTTGGCCCCTCAATGCCACAAATCCAGCGCAGGGTTTCCTTGTTCTTGGGAAATCTTCCTCAATTCGGGCCTCTAGGCGCTACAAGACAACACCCCAATGCTCCAGGTCTAGCACGCTGACCCTACAAATCCAGTGTTGGGTTTTCAAGCTCTTTGGCTTGTGCACTCTAAGGGACTATTTTTGCCGCTTAGGTGCCATAACAAACTCTGCTCCTTTTTCCTCATTTTGATTCCTGACTTGCTTCTTACACATGCTACCCGCATTTTATCTGAAATACCTTTCAATAACATAATAAAAAACATATAAAAAGGCATAATAAAGATGGTAAACAAGCACATTCTATGAACACGCCAAAATTCCCCAAACTTATTGGTTAGTTGTCCCTAAGAAACATAAAAAATTAAACTTTAGATTTTGTTGAACATAAAAGGAATGAGTTTTCATAAGTTACCACCTACAATAAAACTTTCAAAGATACATAGTGAATAAAAATCATTTATTGAATTATTTTGTCAAATGTTCTTGATAAAACTATGAACTCTTCAAATGTTATTTAATCTCATATTCACTTTAAAGGATTTAGTAAATGTTAAACTAATACAAATTAGATGCCAGATTCTAAAAATATAGCCCTCTATTAGGTGATCTATTAATAGTTCTTAAACATATAATACAAATAAATTTAAGAAATGTTATAGCAATTAAAAAAAAAACTAGTAGAAAAACTAATTTTTAGTATGGCTTTTCCTTAAGCTTCTCCTCAATACTTTTCATTTATAACTATTTTTTTCTTTTCTCTTTCTTTCTATAGTATGAATATTTTCAATCCCATTTCTTTTTAGATAATTTATGTGTTCATTCACATCCTAGAGGATTACTATATATGGATTAGCTTTCTAATGATTTTGAATTTTTCTACAATCCCCTTAAAATCAAATACTTCAACATCCCCCTTTTTTTCTTAATTACAGGCTTCTTAGTTATAAATTATTAACATAGAACTCAAATTATATGGAGGCTAAATTTAAAAAAATGATACACATCTAGTTGCAAGTAAATTACCAATTAACCAAATCTCTTTGAAAGTCATATATGATGATTAAATAATCATTTGTTGAATTGCAAAAATCATTCTACAACTAGTTCAATTTAATTCAAAAAGAGTCGAATTGTCATGTAACTATATATCTTCTTCTATTAAGATTGATGCAGTCTCAAATTCATTTCACTCTATATATTTCAACAAACACCAAACTCTAATATTCAAAGGAATAAATATTGAAAAAATTCATTCCCCCAAACTTTATCACAAGCAATTACAAAAAGTAAAACATGATGAAAAACATATGTCATAATAACAATAACAATTACCTGTAACACATGTACAATTCACCACTTCAACAACAATGAATAAAAATAGGAAGAACAACCATAACACATAAAAATAAATCAGCACATTAACTGAAGATACTTAAAGGAGTTCAAATTAATTACAACAAATAGATGTCTAAATAAAAAGTATGCACAACCCAAAGTTGCAAATCACATCAATACAAGTCACATAACACAAAAAAAAAAAACATAAAAACAATAAGAAATAAATCAATTATCAGTAGTAGCAACAATTAAGACAACTAAAAATAGCCAAGCAGAAGTAGAAGCCAACTCAGTCATCACTTCCCTTATCTTATCCTTCTCCTTCTTCTCCTTCTTCCTCCTCCTAATCCTCTTTCATAGGTTGGCGAGGGTTCTCATAAGGCAGATACAAAAAGTAAGTAGGAAAAAAAATCAGATTTATATCTGCTAACCATACAACTTCAACTGGGTGGCCTGAAAATTCTCCCTATAACCGAATTGGTTTTTGTTCTGCCAATATATATGCTACCCTATCAGCCATATCATGCATTTTTGTCTGAATAATAGTAGCATCATCTTCCAATTTATTTATTCACATACAAATAGAAGTCTTAGAAATAGAGACTCTATAAGAGGAAGAAGGCCTAGAAGAACTTTTGCCCCAGTCAAATAAAGTAGTAGAAGCACAACTATAAACTTCAATGCTTCATTTCCCAATATTATTAATGGGGGGAAATAACTCCTCTCAACTGTCATACTTAACCATAGCTTCAACACACAAAGCGAATATAGTAGAAGGGTGTCCAAGTTCTATAGTAGAGTCCAACCTCAACATGCTTTTAATAGAACTACAAATAATCTACCCAATATCAATAGTATGCTCACTTTGAATGTATAAATTAAGGATGAATCTATCTCGAGTAAATTTACTAAGATCAAAAGAGGAGAGAAGCTTAGATTATATAAAATAATGTTAAGCCTTCAACCACTTTGAATGTATAAATTAAGGATGACTCTATCTCGAGTAAATTTACTAAGATCAATAGAGGAGAGGAGCTTAGATTATATAAAATAATGTTAAGCCTTCAACTCAGCATTCAAAGATCTACACCATTCCTGGTTTGAATTATTGCACATCGCTAAAAATTTAAAACTATTAGTTTCATCCATTTTTGAGCCACATAAGTTTGAATTGAAGGTTTTACCTAAACATCTAAAGTGTGCTTTTTTTAGGGTAGTTATCTACATTACCAGTGATTATCTCTTCAGAATTAAGTAGTTAACAAGAAGAAAAATTGATGAGAGTTCTGAGGAGTTTTAAGAGAGTCTTTTGGGTGGACTTCAACATATATTAATGAGATTAGTTCGTTGATATGTATGCATAGCATTCTCATGATTGATGATCATAAACCAATGGATAACCCATAGAGGAGACTTAACTCTATCACGAAGGAGGTAGCTAAGAAAGATATTTGGAAATTGTTAGACACAGACATCATCTACCTCATCTCAAACAATGCTTGGGTTAGTCATATCCATTGTGTACCCAAAAATGAAGGAGTGTCAGTTGTTAAAAATGAACAAAGTGAACTAATTTCTACAAAATAGGACACAAGGTGTCGTATAAGTATTGATTATAGAAAGTTAAACTATGTAACTAGGAAAGACCTTTTTTCCTTGCCCTTTCTTGACCAAATGTTGGATATGCTAGTTGATCATCCATTCTTTTGCTTCTTAGACAGCTATTATGGTTATCATCAGGCTCTTGTAGCTCATGAGGATCAAGATAATACTATCTTTAAGAGCCCATATGAGACCTTTACTTTTAGAAGGAAGCCTTCTAGGTTGTGCAATGCGC